GAAAGAGCGAAATCACCGCCTATTGGGGGGGATGGCCACACTGCAATACCCTCTCCTTGATTCTCCTCTTGGGATTTTGGGCATGCACACAAAGGCACAATGCATTTTTCAAGCTTCTGGGTCCAGGATTTGAACTGTGGAACCAGCCATGTAGGATTCAGTGCCTTAACCATCATGCTACCTGCTGGCCTCTCTTTTCGTTAAGTGTAATACTTTGTTTTTGATTTTGTTTTCCTGGCCAAAAGGCACACGCATTTGTCAGAAAGAGATTGAGAAACAGAGAGAAGAGAGAAAGAGAAGAGAAAGCACCTCTCATGGAAAAATGGTGACCCCCCCCACCCACACACACAATCCCCTCTCCTCTACCTCCCCATCCTGTTGGGATTTTAGGCACATATATACATGTACCTAGTGTGTTCTTCAAGCCACCAGGTCTGAGACTTGAACCTAGTGGTTGGCCAGGTGGGATCCAGCTGCTCCAACAACCAGGCTGTGGAGCCAACTCCATGATCTAATTCTTGAAATGAAATTAGAGTAGTAAACTTACACACAGCCTACTACATTAAAAAAAAGGATTTGGGATATTTATGTATTTTATAGGTCATCACATGAAGACAGGCAGAGTTGGCATCAGTTTTGTTCATCAAAGCTGCTTGAAGAAAGTGGCAGAGCTTGAGTTGGGCTTCTAGGATGAGCCAGCTATGGGGAAAAAAAAAGTTCCAGTTATAATGTGAATTATAACTTTCACCAACACAACTATCCTTCCTCACAAAATGTAGATCTTTCACAGGTAATACTGGATGCAGAGTCTAAAGACTAGAGCCATGAGGCTTCAGGAAACTGCTCATTAAGGATGGAAGAGCAGTAGCTTCATATTAGTTGTACTAACATGAGTACTTCTTTTTTTTTAACTTTTTTTTTTTTGGAGAGGTTTTAGCTATAGGGCGCGTGCGCTTGCCAGACAGACAGAGAGAGACATAGAAACAGAAGGCGAGAAATCACCCCCCAGGGGGGATGGTCACGCCGCAATCCCTTCTCCTCCATTCTCCTCTCGGGATCTTGGCACGCACCCGGCATGAGTTTTTAAGCCACCGGGTCCGGGACGCGAACCACGGTCGACTACGTGGGAGTCCAGCGACATAGCCATTATGCAAACTGGTGGTCCCTAATATGAGTACTTCTTACTCGCAAAGGAATATTTAGGTAAGAAAAATAAGCCCTCTTTGATTAAGCTACTATAGTCAGATTTCTGTTACCTATAGCCAAATGCAAAACCTGACATAGTTGCTTTAGGTTTAAGGAAAAAAGGGAACCTAAAGGCTGGGTAGGAAAAGTCCTTCAGTGAGGCCTCTTCTCTTTGCCCCCACCCTTTACAATTTTTGGTATCACCAAGGAATGTGAGTGAGGGTAGACTCCCATTGAATGCTCCAAGAGGGGAGGAGATTGGAAAGAGAAAAACCAAGTCATCCCACAAAAGGCACGAACTCTTGGGAACCAGCAGTTAGCGTAATGGCTATGTCGCTGGACTCCCACGTAGTAAAGGCACGAACTTTTTACAAAAATTTTTTCTTTTTAAGAAAGATATTTGCTACAGGGCATGTGTGTTCACCAGAGACAGAGAAAGTGAGAAATCACACCCCAGGAAGGACGGCCACACTGCAATCCCTTCTCCATTCTCCTCTCAGGATATTGGATATTGGGCATGTATGCACAAATGCCCAGTGTGAGTTTTAAGCTGCTGGGTCTAAAACTCAAATGGTTGACTGTTGGAATCTAGTAACGTAACCGTTATGGCATCTGCTGGTCTCAAAAGGCACAAACTCTTTTTTTTTTTTTTTAAAGAATTATTTTATTTAGCTTTATTTATTTTAATTTGACTAGAAAGGGACAGAGTGAGAGAGAGAGAGAGAAGAAAAGTGAGAAAGCAAGCTGCCAGGTCTGGGGCTTGAACTGCGGTCAACCACGTGGGCGTCCAGTGCCTTTAACTACCATACCACCTGTTGGCCCCAAAAGGCCAACTTTTAAGGAGGGAACAAAAGGAAGATAGTGTTGGGACCAGCAGTTAGCGTAATGGCTATGTCGCTGAAGTCCCACCTAGTCAAACACGGTTCGCGTCCCGGACCCAGTGGCTTAAACTCAAGCTGGGCGCGTGTGCATGCGTGCCCAAGATCCAGAGAGGAGAATGGAGGAGAAGGGATTGCGGCATGGCCACCCCCCCTGAGGGGTGATTTCTCGCTTTCTGTCTCTCTCTCTGGCGAGCGCACGTGCCCTATAGCAAAAAACCTCTCCAAAAAAAAAAAAAAGGAAGATAGCGTTGGGGTGGGAGAGTGACAGTAGTGGGGTCTGTGGTGTCTCTGCTGCCAGGAGGAGAAGAAATCAATATTCAAAGAGTCTAGCACTGTAGTAGACGTGGTGGAAGGATGACCGCTCCTTACAGATCAGATGACAGAGGCGATCAGAAGATGATTAAGACAAACAGGGTTTGGACTATATCATACCAGGGCCAGCTGATCTGCTGGATTTGGTGTGTGGCTCATACAAGTAGGTGACAGAGAAGAAGGCTGCCAAGACCTTTTCCCGTCAACCCTGTTTGGTCTGACTCCTGCCTCTGTCTCCATCTCTGTCTTCAAAAAACATCAGACTCCCTTTTCTTTTTTTTTGGAGAGGTTTTTGCTATAGGGCGCATGCGCTTGCCAGAAAGACAGAGAGAGACAGAGAGACAGAAAGCGAGAAATCACCCCCCAGGGGGGATGGTCATGCCGCAATCCCTTCTCCTCCGTTCTCCTCTCAGGATCTTGGGCACGCACGCACACGCACCCGGCATGAGTTTTAAGCCACCGAGTTCGGGACGCGAACCGAGGTCGACTACATGGGAGTCCAGCGACATAGCCATTACTCTAACTGCTGGTTCCCCAGACTCCCTTTTCTATGTTATAGCCATACTGGTCACTGTTCAGTTCCTTGGGTAGACAATGATCTCTCCCACAATGGGACCATTAAACATGCTGTTTTTTCCCTGGAACTCTCTCCTTTGTGACATCCATGCTGGACCCTTTCCACACCGCACAGTTACTTACAAATTAGTGCCTATTTGTCTTTCAGCTCTCACCTCAAGCATCATAACTCAAGGGAATCCTTCCTAAGTCACCCAGGGTAGATCAAGTTCCTCTGTTGATTCCTACAGAACCTTGTTCTGTTCCTTCACAGCACTTACTGCAGTGCAGAATGATACAAATATGAGATTATTCGACTAATGTCTATTTTCCTCACTAGACTGAAAGCTCCAAGACAGTAGATCTGTGTCTACTTTTACTTACCACTATACCCCTAGTACTCTGGCATAGTGCATGGTGTATAGGAAGTGCTTAGTAAATATTTATTTATTTACTTACAGAATTATTTATTTAATTGATTTCATTTGTTATTATAATTACTATTATTATTTTAATTTGACGAGAGAGAGAGAGAGAGAGAGAGAGAAAAGCGAGAAAGCAAGCTGCCGAGTCCAGGACTCGAACCGTGATTGATAATGTGGGAATCCAGCGCCCTTAGCCACTGTGCCACCTGCTGGCCCCAGTAAATATTTATTAAACAAATTAATAAGATCAGGCATTCATTGATAAAGTGGAGATGATAATCCTAGTTATACCTCATAGAAGTTTTTGAAGCCTAAATATGAAAGTGCTTTGTAAAGCATAAGGTACTATTTAATAATTAGTGTTGTTATTTAAAAAGCTAAATTTTATTATGATTCCAAAGAAACTATCTTTCTAGAGAAGCAACCAATTTGTTTTCCTAAATGCTTACCTGAAATTTTTTCCTCAAGGCTCGGGTCATTACGGGAGTCAATCCAGTTCCTGTTTCCATATTTTCTTTATTGGTAAGAGGAGTTCCACCTGGGCTCCTGCAAAGATGTTAAAAACATTAGGAGCTGTGTTTTATGTCAACTTTTCATATGAATTTAGAAAGCACAAGGATAAGAGAATGTATTACCTTTCTACATCCACTTTTCTAAGCAGTTTTCTCAGATCTGTCTGGCTTTTACCAGGAGTACTGATAAAATAAAGATATCAAAATTAGAATATGCTAGACTGTATCATTTTTTTCCCAAAGCAGAACAGTCATTTCTATAGGCAGCTTCCTAGAAAGTAGTTCTATATGTTACATTAAAAAATAGGGGTTTGTTGGGACCAGCAGTTGGCGTGGTGGTTAAGGTGCTGGACACTCCTACATGGCTGACCAGGGTTCAAGTCCTTAATCTGGTGGCTTGCTTTCTCACTTCCTCTCTCTCTCACTCTCACCCTCTGTCTCTCTATGGTCAAATTTAAAAAAATTAAATGAATGAATAAAATAAAATAAATAATTATTTTTAAAAAAATAGGGGTTTGTCCTCCGTGGCTCCTGAAAACTAGTGATTTCAGGGAAAAAAGAGAAATGAAGATTTTCTACTAATAATTCAGCCTCCAGCCCCCAAACTTGAGTGGAGAGGCAAGAGGCAGGCCTTCAGAAGAAGACTCCTCCATGGCTCCTGAGAACTAGTGATTTTGCACGGCACGTGAGCATGCTGCACAGTTTTTTATTTTTGCTTTTTTTAAAAAAAATTTTTTGGGGGGTTGTCTTTTATTTTTGTTTCCTTTTTCTCTCTGTTTCTTTGTGAGATTTATTTTTTCCTTTTTTTTCTCCTTCTCTCTGTTTCCTTTTCTTTTTCTTTTATCTCATCACTCTGCTACTCAATCTCCATTCACTCTGTTTCTAGACGGATCTAAGGGAACTATTGCCAAATATCAAAATACTATTAGGGTTAACATATTCCTCAATATCCATCGAATCTGCTACACAAAAGGATAAAAATAGAACGGCAGAGAGATTCCAGATTACCTCCTCTGCACGTTCTGGAACACTCATATTAATTTCAAGAATTAGGAAGAAATATACCATCCATCAGATGACTAAAAATCACTGCAGGGTCACAAGAAATATGGGAAAGCAAGAAAATACCTCTCCTCCAAAGGAAAAGAATAACTCCTCTTCATCCACAGACAGTTCAATGGAAATCATGGAAATGTCTGATAAAGAATTTAGAATATTTGGGACCAACGGTTGGCATAATGGCTATGTTGCTGGGGTCCCATGTAGTTGACACGGTTTGAGTCCCAGATCCAGTGGCTTAAACTTGCGCCAGGTGCATGTGCATGCATGCCCAAGATCCCGAGAGGAGAATAGAGGAGAAGGGATTACAGCATAGCCATCCCCCCTAGGGGGTGATTTCTTGCTTTCTATCTCTCCGTCTGTCTTTCTGGCAAGCACATGTAGCAAAAACCTCTCCAAAACAAAAAAAAGAAAGAAGGAAAATCATAAATAACTTAAATGTCTCAAAACTGGATTTTAGGGGTCCAGCAGGTGGTGTGGTGGTTGAGGCTCTGGACTCCCACATGGCTGACTGTGGTTCGAATCCTGGGCCTGGTGGCTTGCTTTCTCACTTTCTCTCTCTTTCTGTCTTTCTCTGGTAAATCCACATGCCCTGCAGCGAATTAAAAAAATAATAATGATAATGATAAATAAAATTAAATAATTTTTTAAAAAACCTGAATTTTATCTCTGAAATTTATATACAACTGAAGTGCATATATTGAAAAAGTAAAAATTATTCTTTAAGCTATTTTGAATATGATGGAGAAAAGTTCATGGCATATTAAGTTAGAAAAGCTATAACTGTGTCTATAATATGATTATATACAGGCACTCACACACACATGCACACTTATATACAACACATCTTTCCTAGATTCTAAGACATAACTAGCTTTCATATTTTATTATTTCTGAAATTAGTCTGTTTTTAAAATTCTTTTTCAAAAATAATAATGTATTTAATTTAATTAATCTATTTCAAAAACCTTGACCAGGGAGAGAGAGAGAGAAAGTGAGAAAGCAAGCCACCACCAGGTCCAAGACTGGAACCGTGGTCGGTCATGTGGGAGTCCAGCGCCTTTAACCACCATGCTACTTGCCGGCCCCATGGGCCCCTAAAATCTTTTATTTTTAAATAATTATTTTTATTTAACTTTATTTATTATTATCATTATTATTTTCCAGTTTGATTCGAGAGAGACAGAGAGAGAGAGGAAGGGAACAAGTAAGCCACCAGGTCAGAGACTTGAACCACAGTCGGCCATGTGGGAGTCCAGCGCCTTTAACCACCATGCTACTTGCCGGCCCCATGGGCCCCTAAAATCTTGATAGCAGGGGCCGGCAAGTGGCATGGGGGTTAAAGGTGCTGGACTCCCACATGGCCGACTGTGGTTCAAGTCTCTGACCTGGTGGCTTACTTGTTCCCTTCCTCTCTCTCTCTGATCAAACTGGAAAATAATAATGATAATAATAATAAATAAAGTTAAATAAAATAATTCTTTAAAAAAATTCTTGATAGCATTTCTATTTCCTCCCCTAAATCTATTATTTTTTAAAAGAATTATTTTATTTAACTTTATTTATTTATTTTAATATGACCAGAGAGAGAGCAGTGAAAAAGAAAGAGAGAAAGGGAAAGTGAGAAAGCAACTCACCAGTGCCCTAACCACCATGCCACCTGCTGGCCCCACAATATTATTCTTTTAAGCAGCCGTATTGTATAACACTATGCAATTTCTTACATTAAGACGTTTGTTACGTGAGTTGATAACACTTTGGAGTTAGGTTTCAGGGTAACGCGTTGCAAGTCAGAGACAGTAACTAGTGGATTCCGTGCCTTTGGTGATGGTACAAGCTTTAATGATAAAATGAGACATTATTAAAAACACATTATAAAATATCACTGAAAATATAAACATGTTGAAACAGTAAATGTCTGACTACTGAGTATATGTAAAACACATCCGCTATTCATTTGTTTTCTTTTTAAAAAAAGAATCATTTGGGACCAGCAGGTGATATGATGGTTAAGGCACTGGACACTCCCACATGGCCAACCGTGGTTCGAGTCCTGGACCTGTTGGCTTGCTCTCCCTTTCCCTCTCTCTCTCTGTATCTCTCTATGGTCAAATTAAAAATAAAAATGAATGAATAAATAAATTCTTTTTTTAAAAAAGAATCATTTATTTTATTTTATTATTATTATTTAAAAATTTGCTACTGGACATGTGTGTTCACCAGAGAGAGAGAGAAAAAGTGAGAAAGCAAGCTGCCAGATCCAGAAGTTGAACTGTGGTCAGCCATGTGGAAGTCTAGCGCCTCAGCCACCACGCCATCTGCTGGCCCACTCTGTTCAGTTTTTATTTCAAAGCTTCAAAGTATGTACCTCTTCAGACTAATGTTTGGTCCATAAAATTGGCTAACTGAGTAATTTTGGGAATAGATGAGCCAATGGCATGGTGCTAGACTCCCACATGGTCAATCACGGTTAAGGTCCCAGACATGGTGACTTGCTTTCTCACTCTCTCTCTTTCTGGTGACCATATTTGTTTGCCCTATAGCAAATTAATAATAATTAAATAAATACTTACTTAAAAATAATAATAATTTTGGGATCTACACATTTCATTGAAGAGATCCAAAACCACTAAAATACAGCATCAACTACTTTGAATAACTACTTATGCTTATTTTATAATGGAATAATCAGGTTAAAAGCAGAAAGACCATATGTGTGGTCAGGGACATCTTACCTTCCTTCTTTCTTCCAAACTCTGTGTCTTTTTTAATTTCACAGTCAGTAGATCTTTAACTGTTATCTGCATGGGTCCATCTTTTCTTAATGGTCCAGGCTTAAAATATATGGAAAAGTTAGAATTCAATTGAAACTAGTAAAATGCCAACCTAAATCTAGGTTTTAGAGATGCAGACTCTTTAGAGACTCAGACTCAGAGTTAAGAGTTAACTCCTACGTACCCTAGAAGCTATTAAATTCTTTCCACTCAACTAAGAATGATCCTATTTTCAGTACCCAGGGATGCTAAGGTTGTTGAAAAATATTTGGCAGAGCAATATCCCATAGAGCAAGAATGTATAGTCAGAGAGGTATGTGTTATGGCAAATGTAACAGTAGGCTCTGGATTTAACTCAGGTATTTTAAAACAAATGTATCTGTAGTGAAAATTTAGCAGAGTTTAAAACAGGGGCATGCCCATCTTAGTGATTCACAAATATTCTAGTCCCCTAGGGAGATAAGTAGCTATAATAGAGACTCATTTTCCAGACTAATGACATTAAACTTTAAAATACACCAACTCTTTCTGTTCTTATTTCATTTACTAAGCAATCTGTTTTTAATCTAGCTTACTAAAGAAGTATTCCTTTTGGTAAACTGATATGCTGAGAAGCTAATAGGAATCTTCCACTCTATAGGGTTTCATTTATATGTCCATTAAAAAAATAACTATCATTTCTAAATCTAGCTTTTGTAAGTTCTCTGGGTCTGTTTTTAAAAATAAAATAATTGATATAATTAAGATACGGAATCAAAACAAAATATAGCCTTCTTAACTAGGCCTTTAGCTGAGTCTTAAAATGTCACTTGACCTTATTCCCATATTACACACTGACCAAGATATACCATTATTTGATTGTTTCCTACCTGAAGTGCTTTGGTGAGACTGGATTTTCTGAGCAACGAAGGTGCTAGTGGTGGTGGAGGAGGGGGCAGAGGTGGAGGTGGAGGAGGCGGAGGTGGAGGAGGAGGAAGGCTGGCTGGCTGCGGCAGCTTGGGAAGAAGTGCTGCTCTGGACTCTCCAGGGGTGGTTAGAGCAGAGGCAGGTATGTTTGTAAGTTTACCATTCATGTGACACGTTTGACAACAGCTTGGACAATAAGAATTTGCTGAGATGGTCTGGAAGAAGACATTACATTTGGCAAATGAGTAGCAGATTAATTTGGTTCTTGTGACTGAGAATCATCAAAATAATAACTACTATGTATTGAATTATTTTCTTGGTGTATCATGTGCTTCATATTTTCTCATTATCCCAAATTTCTCTATTCCATTCATTTGGTCATTCATGTTTGTTTGTTTATTTATTTTTAGAGGTTTTTCCCTTAGGGCACGTGTGCTCTCCAGAGACAGAGACAGACAGAACGTGAGAAGGAAAGTGAGAAATGACCCCCTGGGGGCGGTGGCCATGCTGCAATCCCTTCTCCATTCTTCTCCTGGGATCTTGGGCACACACATACACACACTTGGCATGATTTTAAAGCCACCAGGTCTGGGACTCGAACTATGGTCAACCATGTGGGAGTCCAGTGATGTAACTGCTCCATCATCTGCTGGTTCCGATGTTTGTTTTGTATGTGCTATGTGCCAGGAACTGAGGGCACAAAGTGAGCCCTGTCTGTTATCATGTGGAGTTGTTAGTCTGAGGAGGGAAGACAGACATCAAACACGCACAAATATTCAAAATAAACCACTAGTTTGCCTTGATCAAACTTTGGTCAGTCTCTCTCCTTTCACCACAAGCCCTTGGACCTTAATCTGCTCTTGGGCTTAATTAAGCACTGGACTGCTATATAATATCTCCTAAATGGCTCCTCCCAAAAATTGGCTGACCTGGAAGGGGGTGGGGCATCCTTCTGGATCAGATCAACTGTGCACTCTGATAATCCCACCCATTCATCTCACATCTGGTTACTTCTAGCTTGTTTACTCCTTTCTATAAAAGAAAAGCCGGGCAGGCTGGTGGTGTGGTGATTAAGGTGGCTAGATCCCACATGGCCAACTCTGCAGTTTGAGTCCCCACTCTGCAGTTTGAGTCCCAGAACTGCCGCTTGAAAAACACACTGGAGGCGGGGTGTGGGGGTGAAGGTGGCATAATGGTTATGGCACCGGACTCCCACATGGCCAACCATGGTTAGAGTCCCAGACTCAGCCAGCTTGAAACTCACACCAGGCAAGTGTGCGTGCATGCGCAAAATCCTGAGAGGAGAATGGAGGAGAAAGGATTGCAGTATGGCCACTCCCCTGGGGGGGGGGGGTGATTCCTCACTTTCACTTTGCATTTTGCATCTCTTTGCACTCCAGTGAGTGCAAATACCCTAGAGGAAAAACAAAACAAAACAAAAAAACACTCTTCAAAAAAAAGAAAGGAAGAAAAGGGGCTGGCAGGTGGTGTGGTGGTTAAGAATACTGGACTCCCACATGGCCAACTGTGGTTCTAGTCCCGGACCTGGTGGCTTGCTTTCTCACTTTCCCTCTCTCTCATTCTCATTCTATTACTCTGGTCTAAAATTAAAAACTAACTAAATAAATAAAGTTCAATAAAATCTTAAAAAAAAAAAAAAAAAAGGAAAGCCACACTGGGAAAGAGGCCAGCAGACCCCTTCTTGTAGTGGTTGAGGCACTGGACTCCCACATGGCAGACCATGGTTTAAGTGCCAGGCCTGGTGGCTTGTTTTCTTACTTTCTCTGGTGAGTGCACATAAACCCTATAGCAAATTTTTTTTTTTAGAATTATTTTTATTGAACTTTATCTATTTTAAAAGTTTACCAGAGAAGGATAGAGAGAGAGAGAGAGAGAGAGAGGGAGAGTGAGAAAGCAAGCCACCAAGTCTGAGACTTGAACTGCAGTCGGCCATGTGGAAGTCCAATGCCCTTAAACGCCACACCACCTATCAGCCCTGCCCTATAAGCAAACTATAAAATGGTAATAATAGGGGCGAGTAGATGGCTTAGTGGTTATATTGCCAGACTCCCATGTGGTCAACCATGTTTGAGTCCTAGACCCAGTGGCTTGAAAATCACACTAGCGCATGTGTGTGCCCAAGATCCCAGAAGGAGAATGGAGAAGGATTTGTATCATGGCCATTCCCCTTAGGGGTGATTTCTCACTTTCCCTCTCACTGCTTCTGTGTCCCCACCCAACATCCCCCCCAGCACACATGCCCTAAGATAAAAACCTCTCAAATAAAAATTAAAATGAATAATTTTTTATAAAAAGAAAAATATGCTGGGTATATGTATTGTGTCCAAAAGATCTGAAAGGAGGCAGACATGGAGAAGGGATGGCAGTGTGTCCATCCCCCATGGAGGATGCTTTTGCACTCCCCCCAAAAAAGTGTGCATGCCCTCTGACAAAAAATAAATAAATAAATAAAAAGAAAGAAAAGTTCTTTGTACCTGATATTTGACATGCTTATAGATCTAATGGCCAGACCATTCATTTCCTCTGTTGTAATAGTCTTTTCTTTTGGAGAGGTTTTTGCTATAGGGTGTGTGTGCTTGCCAGAAAGACAGAGACAGACAGAGAGACAGAAAATGAAAAATCACCCCCCAGGAGGGATGGCCTTGCCACAATCCCTTCTCCTTCATTCTCCTTTCAGGATCTTGGGCACGCACGTACATGTGCCTGGTGTGAGTTTAAGCCACCAGGTCTGGGACTTGAACCATGATCGACTACATGGGAGTCCAGCAACATAGCCAATACACCAACTGCTGGTCCCACAATAGTCTTTTCAAACCATCTCTCCTTACCTAATTTCAGATTTGTTTTTTATTTGACAATACCAACCTTCAGTGTTTCCTGGAGTTTGCATAATTCACCTTCCAAGATGCAAAACTGTTGCTTTAACCTGTCAAGTTCTTGGTGGCAAATACAGGATGGAAAGATGGTATCTTTCCATACTTCTAAACTCTGAAATTCATAAATAAACATGTCTGAATTGTATGATCAGTATAATACGGACAAGAAAAAAGTAAATAAAGTGGTTCAGTGTTTGTTTTATAGAAGCAAAGCAGACATGACCCCATGATTTCATCTTATCTGAGTTTAGCCTGAGTGTTGTGCTCACCTGAGCATATGTACATGTGAATATGAACACCAAGTGCGTAGAAAAACAGCATTGCTGAAAGTTTGTCGAATACACACCTGGGCTATGCAGTTCTGGCACCATCTGTACATAGACCACACTCTGCTTGTCCAAAGTCTTATTGTATCTTTGATATTGAAAAATTTAAATTGCCAGAGTGATCTTAGCCAGCTTCTGCCATAGGGTGTATCTATTGAAGAAGTAACCACTCTGTAGGAAAAACAAAATCAAAGAATTCAAAACCCCTAAGAAAGAAGAGTAGACTTTCATTAAATAAGAGGCAGTTTTATAGTATGATTCAGGAGTAGAAGCACCCTAATGCCAAAGACATTTTTTAATTTTAATTAATTAATTAATTTATTTTTGTCTACAGGGCACCTGCGCTTGCCAGACAGGGACACAGAAAGTGAGAAATCACTCCCCAGGGGGGATGGCCATGCCGCAATCCCTTCTCCTCCATTCTCCTCTTGGGATCTTGGGCACGTACACACAAGCACACGCCCGGCGTGAGTCCAAGCCACCGGGTCCGGGACTCGAACCGCGGTTGACTACATGGGAGTCCAGCGACATAGCCATTACGCTAACTGCTGGTCCCATCCCACTTTCCCTCTCTCTCTCACTCTCACTCTCTTGCTCAGTCTCTCTCTCTCTCTCTGGTCAAATTAAAATAAATAAAGTTAAATGAAATAACTCTAAAAAAACAAATAATTAAAAAATTGATTGTTAAATAACAAAAAGATAAAGAGGCAGGGAATGTGATGTGGTGAATAGAGGTGAAATTTTAGATAGAGAAGCTAGGAAAGTCTCACCAAGAAGATGACTTTTGAGAAAAAAATCTAAAGGAAGTAAGGATGTTATTAGCACTGCAATTATCTGGGGTAAGAGCAATCCAGAGAGAGGCACTAATAAGTGCAAAGGCCCTGAGAAGGAATCTGCCTGAAGTATTTGAGGAACAGTGAGGAGGTCTGGGTGATTAGGAGAGACTGAGGGAAGCGAATTAGGAAATAAGTTCAGAGTCAGATCATAAAGGTCTTGTGAGTGAAACTCAGGATTTAATTATTATTCTGGGAGAGGAAGCCATTGGAGAGTTTTGAGCAGAGGAGCAACATGGCTTATGATTTTAACAGGCTGACTCTGGCTGGTGTGTTGAGAATGCACAGCAGAGGGGGTAATGACAGAAATAAGAGGATGGGGGGGCTTTTACAACATTCAGGAGAGAGAGAAGAGTCAAGGATGGCATTGCAGTTACAGCTTTATTTTGTTTAAAGAATTATTTTATTTAACTTTATTTATCCATTTATTTATTTATTTTAATTTGACCAGAGAGGGATAGAGTATGTGTGTGAGAGAGAAAGAGTGAGAAAGTAAGCCACCAGGACCGGGACTCGAACCATAGTCGGCCATGTGGGAATCCAGCACCTTTAATCACCACACCACCTGCTGGCCCTGCAGTTAATGGTTTTTGAAGGTTTCTGTTTTTAAAAAAAATTTGTAGGGGCAAGCAGGTAGTATGGTGAATTAGGTACTGGACTCACACATGGCCAACTACAGTTCAAGTCCCAGACCTGGTGGCTCGCTTTCTCACTCCCCCTCCCCCACTCTCTTCCCTGTTCTTCTCTCTGGTAAGAGCCTGTGCCCAGTAGCAAATTAAAATAATAAATACAGGGGAACAGCTGGTGGTGTGGTTAAGGCTCTGGAGACTCCCACATGGCCAACCATGGTTGGAGTCCCAGATATAGTGGTATGCTCTCTCACTTTCTCACTCTCTCTCTCTCTCTCTCTGGTCAAATGAAAAAAATGAATTAATAAATTAATAATTCTTTTTAAAAAATAAATATAATAAAATGAATAATTCTTTAATAAAAAAATTTTGTAAAGAGAGCTATTACAACAAAGAAGCATATAAAGCATAAATTTTTGTGAAAATTAGCACCCCAGGGGTCCTGGAACTCACAATACTACATGTAAATTGTGAGTCCTAGAGAATAAATGAGCAAACTTTACCAAAACTAAAATTTAAATTCTAGCCTATCCTATTCTTTTATATTTAGTTGCCAGATTTATGCAATTTACCAGGAAAGGAGATAATATAGTTACTATGCATTTGAACAAAATTCCTTGTGATTTTCACTTCACTTGAACTCTTAAACTATGGTGTCACATAATATTCAGGATGTCAGCACCAGCAGTTGGTGTAACGGCTATGTCACTGTACTCCCATGTAATCAATCACGGTTCAAGTCCCGGACCTGGTGGCTTAAACTCATGCCAGGTGCATGTGCGTGCATGCCCAAGATCCCGAGAGGAGAATGGAGAAGGGATTGTGTGGCAAGGCCATCCCCCTGGGGGTGATTTCTTGCTTTCCTCTCTGTCTCTCTGTCTTTCTGGTGAGCTCATGCACCCCATAGCAAAAAACCTTTGAAAAAAAATTTAGTATGCTGGGGCCGGCAGGTGGCATGGTAGTTAATGGTGCTGGACTCCCACATGGCTACCATGGTTCAAGTCCTGGACCTGACAGCTTGCTTTCTCACTTTCCCTCTCTCTCTCTCTGTCACCCTATCCCTCTCTGGCCAAATTAAAATGAATAAATAAATAAATAAATAAAGTTAATAAAAAATGTTTAAAAAGTTCAGGATGTCTAATTAAAATTTAATTTCAGATAAAAGATAAATAATTTTTAGTACAAGTATATTCCAAATGTTGCATGGGACATACTTATATAAAAAATTATTGTTTAGAAGCTGGCAGGTGGTGTGATGGTTAAGGATGCTGGACTCCCACTTGGCCTTACTTTCTCACTTTCTCTCTCCTTCTCTGGTCAAATTAAAATAAATAAGTAAATAAATAAAGTGAAATAAAATAAAATAATTCTTTAAAAAAATCATTGTTTAGGCCAGCAGGTGGTGTGGTAGTTAAGATGCTGAACTCCCATATGGCCTACCATGGTTATCAGACCCAGCATCTTGAAACTCCAAAATCCAGAGAGGAGAATGGAGGAGAAGAGATTGCAGCATGGCCATTCCCCCAGGGGTTATTTCTCATTTTCTGTTTCTATCTCTCCAGTGAGTGCATGTTCCCTATAGCAAGAATCTCTCTTTAAAAAAAATGTTTATTTGAAATTAAAATTTAACTGGGTGTTCTGTATTTTTATTTGCTAAATCTGGTGACTCTATGATAAGCTATGGTCTATTTACTATTTTTTTAAGACAATTGCATGTCTTTATTACATAAACATATTTCTTATAGGTAGCTGGTCTTAAGTTTGCATCTTGCTTTCACGGAATATCAGAATATCAAATATCTGTAGAAATTATCTAAGAATGGCTTATGAAACCAAAAAAAAAGCCTCATTGCCTACATTGCTCAACCAAATTCCTGAGAAAAATGATAGGTTTTGTTTATTTTACAGTGTAATACATAAATTTTGTTTTGAGATATAAAAAAGAAGAGACTTCTAAAATTTGTGTCTCCTTTTGTTTACAAAGTTATATAAAAATACATTAAGTATGCTCATATGTTTGTCCTTTGACTTAACATTCCAGTTTACCAGAAACAAAAAATAGCAATACACAAAGATATGAGAACCACATTAATCTTGCCGCAAAATAATGTCAACATCATTGTGAACACTTTGCAAAAGTAGCTCCCTGGTGTTCGCTCTTCCTTCGTTTGGCAGCTTAGTGAGTTCCCACCAATGCTTAAAAGAGGTTGGCACATCTGTCATACTGGAAGAGGACCCCAAATTTCACACTTGACTTTCCACCAGCATTTTTTGAACTCAAATTTCCTCCACTAAGGTTAACTTCATGATCCACATTCATTGCTGCCTCCCACCTGGCAGTCTTTCCAGAGGAAGAACTGGTGCCAGGTCGGTCCACACTGGCTTGTCTTCCCAATGCACTGAGGAAGGAAGGGAACGGATGCTGCGGAGGGGAGAAGCGGCAGAGTGGGGGAGAGGAGTAGTAGTTTTTGTGCTTCCTATTTTTTCTGTTCTATATTATGCCTTACCTTTCTGGCGAGGGTGGTGGAGGAGGAGGTGTAATTATCTTGGACTGGAAGTGAGAGGCTTCTTTTTTCCTGAATAATCTCTTGGCTTTGGCTTTTAACTTTCTTCTTCGTTGTTTGAACTTGGGCATGATTTCTGTAGAGAATTTGTTTTACTTTTTAAAAAGTGTATTTCTTCCATGAGCAAGAGAGACAGAAAGAGAGATAGAGAGAGACAGTGAGACAGTTCCCCTAACAGGGTCTCAACTCTGAGACCTACTCCCAGATTCAGCCAACTGTACATATATTCCTGTGTGTGCCCAGCACACTCAGGGAGGTCTCTGGACATGAACCTAGAACCCTTCCATGTGGGTCAGCCTCAGAGAGCACTGAGCTTTACTGTTGTGCCACTCTCTGGTGCTAACATTTATTATTATTGTTTTTTTTTTTTTTTTTTTTTTTTTTGAGAGGTTTTTACTGTAGGGCCCC